CCCCTACCCCCCCACCCCGGCCTCCACTTCTTTCAGCAGGTTACGGACCTGGGACTTGGGAGGCCTGAGCCCTGTGCTCCCTGCTGCCATCTGGTGGCCTTATCTGGGAATTGTCTGCTGACAATGATGCTTCCACTGGAAAAATAAAATCTCCATTTTCTTAATTTTGAATCTAAGCTGCTCCTTTAGCATCGCTTAGGCTTTTAAAATATTCGGTGCCCTCCTCACAGCCCTAAACGTACAAGATCCAGAAGTAATTCGCATCCCCCTGCCTTGCCCACATGCAGAGGGAGGAAGGTTGGAAATGTATCTTAGAGCCACAAGGTCCTGCAGACCCACGTGCTTGCTTTCTGTAGCTCTATCCTGAAGAAGAAAGCAAGTCGCTCTTTAATGGCTGTGGCTTGCTGCCCTTGGAGGCACCTGTACACTCCCTGGGCTTGTGGGCAGTTTGAAGGGAACCCCTTCCTGAGCCCAGCCTTGGCCCATCTTCTCAGCCAGGAGGTGCTAAGCGAAGGTCAGTGGGACACACAAATCCACCCTTCCCAGCCTCTTATGGATGTGTTTTCAATGAGAGCTTTTTATGTCTAATCACTATTGGTATTTGTGACCTTACTAGGTTGTGTTTTAAAAAAAAAATATTTTAGGGGGCTGGAGAGATGGCTCAGTGGTTAAGAACACTGGCTGGTCTTGCAAAAGACCTAGGTTCGAATCCCAGCACTCACATGACAGCTAAAAACTGTCTGTAACTCCAGTTCCTGGGGATCCGACAGCCCTTTCTGTTCTCCGCGGGCATTGCACGACACAGGTGCACTTACCTACATGCAGGCAACACACACATGAAATTTTTTTTTTTAAAGGCTTGCACACATATTTTTTAAAAGATGGATATGAGCCAGGCATGGTGGAGCAGGCACACCTTTAATTCCAGCACCTGAGAGGCAGAGGCAGTCAGGTCCAGGCTAGCCAGGGCTACCCAGTGAGACACTGTCTTGAAAAAAGTAAAGAAGGGCCGGGCATGGTGGTGCATGCCTTTAATCCCAGCACTCGGGAGGCAGAGGCAGGTGGATCTCTGTGAGTTCAAGGCCAGCCTGGTCTACATAGTGAGTTCCAGGACAGCTGCGGCTACAGGGAGACCCTGTCTCAAAAAGATGAAAAAAAAAAAAAGAACAGTTATAAACACGATTAAGGAATTCAACGAATTTAAGGAACACGCAAACAAAGAACTAAAAGGAGATAGGGATGAAGTTCTGAATGAATTCACGAAAGAGATAGAAACATTGAAGAAAACTCAGGTAGAAATGAAGAAGGAAATGAAAAACTCAACAAGCCAACTTGAAACAACAGGGGAAAGCCTCACTGCTAGAATGAGCGAAATGGAAAACAGAATATCAGCACCAGAGGATAAAGTTGAAGAACTGGACCACTCAAGCAAAGATTATGGAAAATTAAAAAAAAAAACAAAAAAAAACCAGGAATGGAATATGCAAGAGATGTGGGGCACCATGAAAAGACCAGATTTACGTATCATAGGCATAGAAAAAGGAAAAGAATTTCAGGTTAATGGTGTTGACCAGCTCTTAAACAGGATTGTAAAAGAGAATTTCCCTAAATTAAGGAAAGACATCCCCATACAAATACAGGAAGCACATAGAACACCAAATAGACAGGATCGGAAAAGAAACTCCCCATGATATATCATAGTAAAAACACTAAATGTGCTGGGTGTGGTGGCGCACGCCTGTAGTCCCAGCACTTGGGAGGCAGAGGCAGGAGGATCTTTGTGAGTTCAAGGCCAGCCTGGTCTACATAGTGAGTTCCAGGCCAGCTGGGGCTACAGGGAGACCCTCTCTCAAAAAGACCAAAAAAAAAAAAATTGTTCTGTTCTGATTTTTTTCTAGTTCCCTGTCTAGAACTTGTAATGTTAGTTACTCTTGCCTTTACTTCTCCTTCGCATCTCCTAGTCACCAGTCAAGGACTTTCTTTTCCCCCTACAGATAAGAGTTATGCAATTGGGAGTCTTTTAGATAGACCAACTGAAGGGGTACCCCAATTGCCTCACCCTGCATCCCTGTTCAGCATGGAAGAAGCCAGAGTGGTCTGCGTCCCTATTCCCTAATGGCAAGGGTAAATCCTCCAGGGGATGGCATGATAGGTAGGAATTGGCTAGGCAGTTAAGGTAAAAAGACCCTAAAGAAAAGTAGCCAGTTTCTTGGCTAAAAGTCACAATGTCCTTGGGCCTCTTAGCAACATACTCAGTTCCAAAGGCCAAAAATGTCGAAAGTATTTGGGAGCTTTTATCTAATCCTTAAAAGATTTTAGGGTTACCTCTTCAGAGGGGGAAATGGTAGAGTAGCCAGAAGCCCCATTAAAAATAAAATAAAAGAAGAAAGAGTACATGAAGTTATCAGATAAAAGTGATGGGACATATGGGAGGTGTTGGCGGGGAGGGAGTGGGCATGGATTTGATCAAAGCACCTTATATGCATGTATGAAATTCTCAATAAATTGTTTAAATTAAAACAAACAAACAACAACCAAAAAAAAAAAAGAAGAAGAAAAGAAGGGGCTGGAGAGAAGGCTCAGCGGTGAAGAGCACTGGCTGCTCTTGCAGAGGACCCGGGTTCGAATCCCAGCACCGCACAGCAGCTAACAACGGTTTTTAACTCCAGTTCCAGGGCATCTGATGTCCTCTTCTGTGTTTTGCTGCTACTGTACAACACGGGTACACTTACACACAGGCATAACACTCCTTCCTCCACATAAAAAATCAAAAGTTAAAAATTAAAAGACACGAGGGTCTCATGGTTTCTGCTCCATCTGCTTTGAAAGGATCATGTGACTTTTAATAGGTGAGTATTTACACATCCATGGAATGTATACCTTTTGTGATATACGTTAGATGTTCACAGGGTTTTTTAAATTCTCTTTGAGGCTGGGACTGGGGAGGGGTGGGGGGGTGGCACATGCCTTTAATCCCAGCACTCCGAGGCAGAGGCAGGCAGATCTCTGTGAATTCAAGGTCAACATGGTCTACATAGTGAGTTCCAGGCCAGTTGGGGCTACAGGGAGACCCTGTCTCAAAAAGATGCCCCCCAAAATTTCTTTTGAGATAGGGTCTCACTATGCATCCAAGGCTAGCCTTCACCCAGAGATCTGCCTGCCTCAGCCTGCTGAGTGCTAAGATTACAGGTACCGCAAAGTTTCTTAAGGGAGCAGTCAAGTTAAAAGGACAAGAATCCACAGGTCCCTGTGGTCTACTGTCAATCAAGTGGCTGACCAGGGGCTGGGGTTGAAAAGAGGTTCAAAAGAAATTAAGGCTCATGACATTAAACTTCACCTCTAAGTCCTGTGGTGGTGGCTCATATCTGTAATCCCAACGCTTAGGAGACTGAGGCAGAAAGATCAGGAGTTCAAAACCACCCTGGGCTCCTAAGACCCTGTCTCCAAAAAAAAAAAAAATCACGGATTGGGCATCCATTTTGCTTACCTAAGCCTCATTAAAACCTCAAGTGACCAGAACGAAACAGAAATTTAGGGTTCAGGAATAGTCTTAGACAGTGTAAGCATTGTTGGGGTGAGCTAGCAGAGTTTAATAGAACCCAAAGTAGTATCGATTCACCCATTTAATCTTACATCCTTAACTTGCTCACCACTGCTGGGCGCTTCGGGAGAACAGGACACTATCAGAATGAAAATCTGTTTCCACCGGCAGGAAGTTGAAAATGGAGCCAGGAAGAGACAGGATTTGCAGGTGACGTTTAGTAACTGTGAGGGTGCTTACACTAAGTACCTGCGTGAGTAAAGGACCAAAGCCGTGACCTTGGTAGTTAACGCCTGGAGGTCAGAGCAGTCGCGTTGACTTACAGCAGGCCAGGGGCAGCACCCTGCAGGGCCTGGAGGAAGGGCGGGATGGGGCAGGAGGAGCCCGAAGTGCAGGCTGGACCCTCGCGCAAGCAGGGCGCAGATGCACGGGCTGCCAGCGCGCTACACCCACAGTGGTCCTGGCCAGATTCAGGAGCAAAGCGCCGCTGGCACCCGGGGCCCGGGCACCCCCGGTTCTGCCAATGTGTGCGCTCTTCCTGGACTGGCCTTCCTACCCCGGCTTGGTTCTCCTCTCCGCGCTCCTCTGTCCACCCACCTTGTCTTCTGCACAGACTGACATTTCTGCCTGGAGGTCCTCCCCATCTTTGAGCCTCCTGACTTCAGTGGGCTGTGCACACCCCACAGCCCCACCTACACCTCCTGTGCGGGCTGAATGCTGGAAGCTCTTGGGAGTTTTTTCTCCCACGACCTCACACCCTGCCCGATCCTCCCACACTCTACCCCAGGAAGCCACCCTAGGCCTAAAAAGCATCTTTTGCTACAAACCACTGCAGGATGCCTCACTCCTGACTGCCAAGTATGTAGACTGAGCTCTCGCCTACTTGGCACAGTGACCCCATCATTATCACCACCATGGGGGAGAGACAGGACAGGGACTCATGAAGGTCATACAGGGAACAGTTAGGCGACAAGATTTGAGCTCCCGTCCCTGCTGTGCTAAAAACTGATTTTGACCACTACGTTACTCGGCCTGTATCCATTTGTGGGACTCTGGCACTATGCTGCGCCTGGGCCTTTCTGCACCCTTAATGTGTATTTTATGAATAGCTGAATTCATTCTGTCTAAGTGCAGCATCTACTCTGGGTTCCCTGCAGGACAGCTCGCTCCCGGTTTCCACCCCTCTGCTTGGGCCCTGTCCTTCCAGGCCCAGGCCCTCTCTTTCTCAGCACTTTGGAACAAGCAAGTCTTTGACTTGAAGCTTCATCTCTGTGTCTGCTTCTGGGGAAGCCACCCTAAGCCTAAAAAGCATCTTTTGCTACAAACCACTGCAGGATGCCTCACTCCTGACTGCCAAGTATGTAGACTGAGCTCTCGCCTACTTGGCACAGTGACCCCATCATTATCACCACCATG